TGGAGGTGAGGAGCAGGTGCCAGCCGTAGGAAGAGGCAGGCAGGGTCAGGGTCCCGGCCTCCAGGGCGTCCCCACAGTTTCCTCCACAGCTCCTGTGGAGCCGCCAGCGGGGGCGTCTGCAAGCACCCCCATGCCGTCGGATCACACACGTATTTCCTGTTCTCTCCCGTTCTCTGACAGCTTCGTGAGTGGTTCCTCTCCCAGGTGTGTCCCGGCTCCTGGCCGTGACCACACCGTGACCCCGCTGGCCTTTCTCTCCATGGTTCCCTGTGTCTCTCTGAAGGGAACTCTGTTCTCTCCCAGGACGTCCAGCCCACCGCTCTGGCCAGAAGCCTGGGGGGGTCAGCTGCCTCGCTGTCCTCCGCCGTCCCCACAGCCCCCATGCCAGCCTGCAGTGGGGTGTAGCCGCCTCTCACATCACATCCTGGGCTGCGTGGGGCCTTTGCAGAGTGTTTGGTCACCAGCCCTCCCGCACAGGGTACCTGGCCATAAACAAACCAACCAAAGCCGTGGAATTTCCCCTGGGTGGAAGTGACCTTTTCCTTAGAACTCAGTATGGAAATTCAATTTCCATTTTCACTGGGAACATTAATTGATCCCAAAGGGATTAGAGGCAGAGACTCTGTGAATGGAGTTCCAGGGCATGGTGCCGCCGCAGCCTTTCCCCAGCCCTGCTCCCGCTCCGTCCGCCAGGGTCCAGCAAGCACTCTGGGCACCTGCAGGGTGGCCGCCTGTGGGAGGGGCTTCCCAAAGTCTGTCATTTCCCTCCTCTGCAGCCACTGAACAAGACCTGGCCTTGGGGAGCATCAGTGCTGCCCGCCCAGCCCTGTGCTGGAGGGGGGCCGTCTGTGTTCAGTGAGGCCACAGGTCCTGGGGGAGGGGCCAGCAAAGGCGGGGACTGTGGTGCCGGCCCTGCATAGCTGCTCTATGGGGTTTCTGTCCTCTGGGGGCCCAAGTGCCGGACTGTGCCCAGGGCCCATGTCCTGTGAGATCACCCCAGGCCGCCCTCTCTCTGCTGCTCCCAGCACTCAGCCGTCTCATCCCTGTGGCCTCAGCAATAAGGTGGAGACACCCGGGGCTGCTGGTCACGTGGCACTGTCCACGAAGGGCAGCAGAGCCCAGCGTCTGAATGGATAAACCCATAGGAACCGGCCCTCTCGCTGGACCCTCCTTCATGTTGACAGAGGCATGTCTGGCGTAGATTGCTGTGACGCTGTGAGGGTCACTGCACGGCTCCCAAGCTCGGGCCTGCCTGACGTCCGAAGCCCTGAGAGCACTGGGCCCTGAGTCAGGCTGCCCAGACTCCACGCTTAGCCTCCCGCACTTCCTGGAACCCCAGCGCAGAGCAATGTCTTCCTGTCTGGGCACAGGGGATCCCCCACCCACAGCCCTGAGACTCCCCCTCCTGGGACCCTCACTGCCGTTCTCAGGCATTGTGGTGACGGCAGCCTTGCTGAGTTGGACCTCCGGGGCTGCTCCTCATCCAAGACCCAGGCCCATTCCCAGTTCCCTCCAGCAGCAGCCCAGGCCGTGACTGTGTCTGTGGAAAACCAGTTATTTGTGGTATCTGTGAAGGGCAGGAAGGCCTCCCTGCTCACAGCTCTCGCCTCCAGGGCCTCACGTGGACAGGAGATCCCAGAGACGTTCTGAGTACAGGAATCCGATCATCACAGCCAGTGCAGCTCACTGCCCCATGGGACCCTTTCAGAAGGCCCTTGAGCCGTCACGGCATTTGCCCCTCCGCTCCATAGTCAAGGAAGCCTGGCATGGCCCCTGCAGTGTCCCAGCCACCTGCGGCTACTCCTGGAGCGGGACCAGAGGCCCAGGCACATCAGTGTGGAGAAATGCAAGTGCCAGCCGACTGTGTTGGACAGCTGTCCCTCCCCTTGGGTGTCTGTCGGGCTCAGGGCTGCAGGATGTGATCTGAAGTCCTAGGTGTGCCTTCCAGGCCCTCCTGGCACCCTCTCGAACTCCTCACCCTGCAGGCATCTCTGTCCCATCTCTTTCCCCCACACCCAGGCTGCCTCTCTGGGACCAGGCTCTTCCCACTTGGCCCTTCAGCCCGTTGCCCACTCCCAGCCCCTCTTCCGTGCATTGGATCAGGATGATCTGGGTGCCCATTCGAGCACTCCAGGACGACCTGAGCGCTTTCCTCTTCTGTACCTCCGGGGCGCGGGCACAGCCAGTGCTGTGGACTGTGTGTTTGAGCCCACCCTCTCCAAGTGTATGTATGCTGAGCCCTAGCCCCTGGTGTGGTAGCCTTAGTGAGCTTGAATGGGGTTGCAGTGTAGGGGCCCAACCCCATGGGATTTGTGTCCTTATGAGTGGCACTGGGAGAGGCACACACACCGAGGAAAGACCCCAGGAGGACACCTGTAGGCCATCTGTGGGCCCTGCTGGCACCCGCATCAGCAGTCTCCGCCCTGGGGTCTGTGGGAGTTATGGCAGCCCCAGCTGCCTGGGATGGGCAGTGACAAGGCTTTGTTCATTTTCCTGTCACCAGTGCCCGGTCCTGCATGTGGCCCTGGTGTTGGAGGCCTCCCCTGGCAGGGGAAAGTCCCTCCCTGCCCTCCCCCTCCCTCTAGTTCTGCCCAGATGCCTCTGCCTCTGTTGCCCACCCGACCTTCGGCCCCAGGCACCTTCTCTCTCAGCGCTGTCCTGGAGCGCTGCATGTGGGGATGCAGGTCCCTGCCCCCACCTGGCCCCGTGTGCCTCACACCAGCACCATTCTAGCATGTTCTAGCATACGAGTGAGTATGTGGGCAGTATTCGGATTCAGCTCTCTTGGTTGATGTACAGGACATTTGCAATAGATCATGCGTGTGTCACCAGCCTAGGGGCCGGTTCCTTGGCCTGGAGTGGCCACCAGTGTAGGATTGAGAGTGACCGAAGAGATCACCCCCGAGGCTGGCCCGGCTCAGCTCAGTGCTGGGTCTTAATTGAGTTGGATGAGCTCTCCTGTTTGGTACTGCCGCTGGGCTGGCTTCGTGAGGGCAGGACCCTGGGGCTCTCTGACGAAGCCGTCCTGACTGGCATAGCACAAGTGCAGGCCATGGTGCCCAGACTAAACTCTCAGACCTCTTGTCTTTATTGCCCAACCACGTGCCTGAACTCCCCAAGTGGGGACGATTTAGGCCCAAGAGCCGTGCATGGCACCATGATCCATCCTCTCCCCACTGGGCTCCGTGGGGAGCTGGTGGCTGCTCCCTGAGACGCATTTACCAGGCTGTCGCGGGGCCGTGAGGCTGTCTCTCCCTCCTCAGAAGCCTAACAAGCTCACGGGCCATTAGCGCTGATAATGGATAAACCGTTGCCATCCATGTTGGCTTTCAGTCTGGAAAGCACTTAAACATCCTTTATTACACTTTTTTTGAAAAAATAATTATAAAAGTAATCGCTGCTCGTTTTCACCAGTGAACTACAAAGCAGCACACGACGCCCCATGTCCCTACCACCCTGGCCACGTCCTCCTCTGCTTTCTCCAGGGTCGAATAAAGGAGTCCTCAGCGATCTTCAGAAAGTTCATGAAAAGTGCACGGAATGAAAAGACTGTGCCCCGAGTTCAAAAAAATTTTTTTTAATCATTTGTTGACTTCTGTTTTTTATTTACTTGAAAGGTAGAGGGACAGAGGGAGGAAAATAGAACCCTCCCCTCTGCTGGTTCCCTCTGCAGATGCTACAACACCCAGAGACGAGCCAGGGCAAAGCCAAGCCAGGTCTCCCAAGTACTTGAGCCTGCTGCCTCCCAGAGTGTGCATTAGCAGGGATCTGCATCAGCAGCAGACAGGGTGGGACTCGAACCCGACACCCGATACTCTGGATGTGGGCATCCTAAGCCGTGTCTGAGCTGCCGCACCAAATAAATTGCTGCCATGCCATTTGTCTTCCCATCCCCTTGTCAGATTTATCTTTCCATGTTGATATTTATAAACATGCCTCTCCTCTAAACCCTGAGCTGGGCTCATCTCTTTCTCGGTCACTGACAGACACTGGGGTCTAAACTCCTGCTCAAGTACGTCACCCCCGGCCCCTGCGCTAGGGAGGATGCACCCCCAGCCCCTGAATAGGGAGGACGTCACCCCCAGCCCCTGCGCTAAGAAGGATGTGTCACCCCCAGCCTATGGGCTAGGGAGGACGTGTCACCCCAACCCCTGTGCTAGGGAGGACGCACTCCCAGCCCATGGGCTAGGGAGGACATGTCACCCCGGCCCCGAATAGGGAGGACTTGTCACCCCCAGCCCCTGAATTGGGAGGATGTGTCACCCCAGCCCCTGCGCTAGGTAGGATGTGTCATCCCTGGCCCGTGGGCTAGGGAGGACATCACCCCTGGCCCCTGAATAGGGAGGACGTGCCACTCCTGGCTCCTGCACTAGGGAGGACGTGTCACCCCGGCCCCTGCACTAGGGAGGACGCACCCCCAGCCCCTGCACTAGGGAGGACGTGTCACCCCAGCCCCTGCACTAGGGAGGACGTGTCACCCCAGCCCCTGCACTAGGGAGGACGTGCCACTCCTGGCTCCTGCACTAGGGAGGACGTGTCACCCTGGCCCCTGCACTAGGGAGGACGTGCCACTCCTGGCTCCTGCACTAGGGAGGACGTGTCACCCTGGCCCCTGCACTAGGGAGGACGTCTCACCCCGGCCCCTGCACTAGGGAGGACGTGTCACCCTGGCCCCTGTGCCAAGGAGGACGTGTCACCCCCGGCCCATGTGCTAGGGAGGACGTGTCACCCCGGCCCCTGCACTAGGGAGGACGTGTCACCCCGGCCCCTGCACTAGGGAGGACGTGTCACCCCGGCCCCTGCCTGCACAGCTGAACTGCTGCTGCTGCCATGCAGGATGCGCTGCAGAGCAGACGTTCGGGCAGGCCTGCAGGGTGGAGGGAGTTTAGAGATGGCTTCTGTGCACGTCGAGGCGACTCCCCTCCTTTCTGGGGACAAACGCTGAGGGGGTGGACGTTCAGCGGATCATTTGGGTGTGGCAGCTGTCTCCTTGTCCCCAGGAGGGATGTCAGGCAAGTGTTTTGAGGATGAAGAGTTACCGTCGCTGGAGAATCTGGCCTGTGTCCTCGGTGGAGCATCCCTGGGAGCCAGGTGGGAGGAACGCAGGCTTCGCTTTGGCACATGGGCCACGGGAAAGGCCGGCACAGGTTCACACAGGAACCTGCGTGTGGACGCTTGTGGACGCTTGTGGCGGCATTGGTCAGATAGCCAGGACGTGCAAACAGCACCCCTGCAATGCATCAGGACGAGTGCCCCGGGTGTGTACAACAGGGAGAACATAGCCGAGCGGGACGATGTAGCCGTGACGCGCGCTCAGACACGGCTGTGCTGCACGAATCCCGTGCAGGCAGGAAGCAGCTGACACAGGAGGCCACGTGGTGCTGCGCGCACCCAGGGTGCTCCAGCCACAGCGATGGGGGGCATGCCTGCTGTGGAGGGGGTTAAACCGTGCCGGTGGCTGCGCTGCTCTGCCTGTGCTGCGAGCCAGCCGGGCTGGGGACTCCAGTGGGTGACCTGAGCAGATATCAGTGTGAGGAGTCCTTAAAGCTTCCACAGAATGGCGTGTCTCATGAAAAAACCGTGCATCAGTTTCAGAATTGCTGGCTTCAGAATGAACGTCTTTTGATTCTACTTCCCATGGGCTTTTTGAAGTTCCCCCATGTATCTCATTAAAAGTAAAAATAACCTTTTTTTTTTTTAAATAAAAAGGCAATGCCCACTCCTGCCTCTCTGTGACCCTTGTACTCCGTGTGCCCAGCCCAGCCCCTGAGACTTCCCCGCGTCTCGCCCTCCTGTGACCCCAGCTGTGGGCACGCCTGCCACCTCGGCTGTGGCGTCCCCTGCCTGAGCGTGAGAAGTACAGCCCCTCAGAGAGGAAGTTAGTACTGGGTTCCGGACTCCAGGACCCGCCTGTCAAGTGCCTGGACTTGGCTCCTCCCCCCAGGCTTCACGGAGCACAGTCCACCTCTGTGTATGTGGGCAGAGCCAGAGCCCTCGCTGGTGCCATCGGCCCTCGACGGGGTCTCCCTCGACCTCCCAGCCCCACCTGCCGCTGCTCGGTCAGTACTGTATCCAGGCTGCTGGTGAGGGTCAGGTCTAGTGCCGTCCCCTGGGCTGCCTTGCAGTTGTGTGCTGGTGACGGAGAAAGAGCACACGGGTGCAGCTCGCACAGGGCCTGCTTGTCTGGGGGACTCTGGGAGCAAGGAGGCGTCGCTCATCAGCTTGCCAGCTGGCCACGGGAGGGGCTGAGCAATGTCCACCTTGTGCCTTGAACTTCAGAGACTTGGGAATTCGAGGGTTCTGGGCTGTGAGTCCAGAGAGGCCCAGACAGCTATGGCCTCAGCATCAGCGGAGACTGCCAGGGCCCTGACACCTTGGCTGTGCTTTCTGGCCCTCGTCCCACTGCGGGACTCCAGCTCTCAATGTTGGAGACCTTGACTCCCAAGCTTCCCCCCCTTTCCTGGGCAGCCTGAGCCCCTCACGGGGTGGGAGGCTGATCCGAATGGGGTTGTCATTGGGGGCAGCCGCCTTCCTCCACTCAGGGACCCCATCAGCTGTGACAGCTCTGAGCGGGGCACCAGCGAGAGCTCTGTGGCCACGGCTCACGGAGGCTCTGGCCCTTTCCAAGGCCAAGTGGGAAGAAGGCTCCCCCAGTGTCTGCGGCCTCCTCTCACCCTGGAGAAGCTGCTCAGCTGCCCCTGCATGAGGAGCGGGATCCTGGCAGGAGAGAGGCCCTTTGGGCGATTGTCGGGGAGCTTGGCTGCACCCACAGACCCTGAGTCGGGCCAGTTAGGCAGCCAAGGATGACCCGGGACGGGGTGTTTCAGAGAGGGGATTCAGGAGGGTGGAGGGGGGCTGCTGGAAGCACAGGTGAGGCCACCCCCCGAGCCGTGTGACTCAGGTGTGTCTGTAGCCCGTGTCTGCTTCCCTTCCACTCTGATCTTCCTGCTTCTGTTAGGGTCTCCCAAGATCCCTGGGTCACTCCCTCTGAGGCCCACGTGGGGACGTCCTGGTGGCCCAGACCATGAACCTACATTGGGACAGAAGAGGGATAAGAAGCCCCCTCTGCCGGTAGCCACTGTTCCACCCAGTCGGGACGTGGGCAGGAGTAGACCCTGCATGTCCGTCTGCAGCTCCACTGGGTTGCAGGTGGTCACGTCCCCACCCCGAGCCCTGGCTTCTTTACTGATGGACCGGGAGTCAAAAGTGCAGGTGACACAGCGGTCACCTTCACCAGCTACCCCGCTGGCTGCGTGGGGAGCAGGTGCCTCACCTGGGCTCCTGCCTCCAGGGCCCCGACTTGAAGGCCCCTCCCTGGGGCAGGGAATAAGTGAGTTCAGGTGTGCAACACGGGGTGGGGTGCTGCTGACTGAGGGTGGGCATGGCAGGGCTGTCGGGGATGACCCTGGACCCCAGCTCTTCTGCTCCCAGCTGCAAGGACGGGTGGGGGCCTTGGCCCGGCCGAAGTTCATAGCCCCCTCCTGTGAAGTGCAGGCTGGGGAGGAGTGGGCAGCACCCGGAGCGCCCCCTGTGCAAGGCTTGGCGGGGCCTTGCTGCCTGGGCAGGTGGTGAGCCCCACCGGACGCTCCGGTGGCACATGTGGATGTCCCTTACTGCTGGTTACTGCCAGAGGGACTGAAATAAAACCCTGTGGCAGCCTGGTGCTCCTGGGAGAGTAGAGAGCTGAGTGGCAGGTCCTGAGCACAGGGGCCAGAGAGAACTAGGCCCCCTGCCCCGCTGCCTGAGGTCTGTGCAACGTGCCCTTGGAGGCAGGTGGGTGTGAAGCTCTTTGGAAAACCTTCTGCCAGCAAATTGGGAAGGAAATGGGCTTCTGCTTTCAGTCTACGAGGTGCTTGTTCCTGGGCTGACCCCTAAGAAGGGATGGCCCTTCAGCTGCATCTGGAACCTTGTGTCAGTGTGTGGGGGACTGAGGGCTATCCAAGACCATGGCTGCTGGCCTGACCAGGTGCCCTGTACCAAGAAATGGAGAGACCAGACCCGAGGTCTGCTTTGCAGGTGCACTGTGTGGAGATGGGCCCCTCCTGGGCCACGTGGCTGTGCTGCTGGTGCTGTGTGGTGGCAGCAGAGACAGGAACACTTTCAGCACCGGTCCTAGGGACAGTGGAGTTGGTCTCCACACACTGGGCTGGAGGGCAGGGGCAGGCTATGGGACTGGCTGCTCTCAAGTTTGCCTCCCAACATTGCCTTCCTGAGTGGGTGCAAAGCTTAGGTGACAGCCAGCAAGGGGCCCTGGCAACACACACAATGAAGACACATGCACAGACAACATACACAGACACACATGCACAATGCAGACACACAGACAACACACACACAATGCAGACACATGCACAGACAACACACACAGATACAACACACATGCACAGTGCAGACACAGACAACAGACAACACACACGCACAATGCAAGCATACAGACAACACACACACAATACAGACACATGCACAGACAACACACACAGATACAACACACATGCACAGTGCAGACACAGACAACACACACGCACAATGCAAGCATACTGACAACACACACAGATACAACACATGCACAGACAACACACACAGATACAACACACATGCACAGACAACACACACAGATACAACACACATGCACAGTGCAGACACAGACAACATTACTATGCACAGTGCAGACACATAGACAACACACACGCACAATGCAAGCATACAGACAACACACACAAGGCAGACACACACAGATAACACACAATGCAAACACACAGACAATGCAGACACATACAACACTCACACAACACAGAGACATATACAGTGCCTAGATGCACATGCAAAATACGCAGTCATAGCCCTACACACGGGCAGTGCACAACGCGTGGTCACACTGGATAAGCACACCCCAGGCTCACACACGCGTTCCTCCCCCTGCTGGTGCTTACGGTGCGAAGCTTCACTTCCCAAGTGGGGACCAGCTCCTAATCTAGATGCAAGGCAGCCATTTTCTCCCAAACAGGATGCATTCCCGTCACCTTCAGAAAAACACCGTCAACTTGTTGCCCGTAAAAAGCGCGTTACACAACTGCGTCCGACTAGCACGAGCATTGTGCAGGACGGACGGCTCGCGGTTCCTGTGATAGTTCATCTTCATGGCAGTCCCGTGACTGCTTAAGCGGCATCCCCACTTTGCAGGCAGAGAAACTGAGTCCAAGGCCCCACGGGTGGGGTGGGAGCCAGGATGGGAGCCGCGGTTGTCTGACCACAGCAGTGCAGCCTCTGCCCCAGTGCTCCTCCCGTGCCAGCACCCCAGATCACCAGAGGGCCCTGAACCCCCACGCAGCACCTCTCCTCATCTATCCTCAACCCCTCCGCAAGAGCCAGGTCCCTCTGCCAGCCAATAGCGTGTGTGGGCAGGAAGCTGCTGCCACAGCCTGGCCTGCGGGGCCCTGGCCTCTGCCGGAGTCTGGGCAGTGGTGACTGGGGGGCGGGTGTGCCTTACAGACTCTCACCACCCTGCGCCTTCTGCCTGGCACAGAGCAGGCCCTCGGCCAAGCTGTGCAGAGGTGAACAGGACTGTGAGGGACGAAGGGAGAGAGGAGCAGGTGGGAGAAGAAGCCCCCAGCTTGGCAAGAAAGCAGCAGGCGGTTCCTCGCTGGAGTCTGATCACAGCGCCTGCCTGGGCGGGAACGGCCTTCTGGAAGGGAGCGGGGAGGTCCGTGAGCCGCGTCTGCAAGCCTGGGGGACGCTCTGGCCTGGATGAGCAGGCTCCCGAGACCCTGACTGCCCTCACAGGCAGAACTACTGCCTCATGTTCGCGTGCTTGGCACATCCCACGTTAGCTGACTGGCACTTGAGTGGTTTACGGGGAAAGAGCACAGTGAAGGAGGATGCACTGCCCGCAGCCATGGGGCACAGGGGCCGGCGACTGCAGGGTGGGGGCAGCACAGCCCGGGGGGGGGTCTCTGCTGGACACTCGCTCCTGTGCAGGTGCATCGCAGCAGCCCCAGCCGGGCTGTCCCCCCTTTGCCTGAGCCCACTGTCCTGTGAGGGAATTCACAGGGCATCGGGGGACCAGGCAGGATGTGTGGCTGTGGAGTTGTGGCTCTGAACGGCATGGCCGTGAGGGGCACCTGCCGGACACCCGCACTGACTGCTGGGTGCAGCTCAGCCAGTGTCCAGAGTGATGCCTGGCCTGCAGAGGCGCACAGCATGCACCTCCTGTGGCCCCTTTGTTGTGTGCGGGCATGCGTTGTGCACGTTTGTATCTGTCATGTGCACCGGGCAGTGCACAGCCTGGGCACCCCCTTGGGGGAGGACCCCTGGTCCTAGCTCCTCCCTGAGCCCCTGAAATTGGCAAGGATGGGGGTCAAAATCTCTCAGCTGTGATGTGACTGCATGTGGCCCACACACACGGGGCTTTTTGTTCTTTTGAGTTTTCGCATTTTGGTGAAATGCACATACAGCAGAGGTTTTTATGCGCTGGCTCAGGGCATCAGGTGTGTTCACCGTGTGTGCAGCTGTCGCCACCACCATCTTCAGCACTTTCTCTTTTTCCCACCTGAGACTCTGTCCCCATGGGAAACCACTTGCCCCTGGCAGCCCCCACTCTACTTTCTGCCCCCGGATTTGACTCCTCGAGGAGTTCCGTGCGCGAGGAAAGACAGCGGGGGTCCCCTCGGGACTGGCTCGGTTCACTGAGCCCGGTGTCTTCGGTCACCTGTGTGTGTGTGTCAGGACGTGGTGTGGGCTACCGTCTGTGTGGCAGCAGACATGCGGGTTGCTGCACCAGCATCCCCACACACGTGAACAAGTGCGTGCCGAGAGCCTGCTTCTGGGTGCCAGCTGCCTTCTGTCTTTTGTAGAACGTGGGGCTGTACCTACATGGGTGCCAGGTGTGACACCCATTTGTTTGGACGACCCCAGAGCTGGTGACAGCTCTGCCACAGGATGACTTCACAGCTTCCCCTAGAATGGTCTGCAGTGGGGGAGGGTGTGCGCTGCCCCAGGAAGGCCCCTGGCACTTGCCCTACTCACTTGCAGAGCACCGGGCATAAGGAGCCCCCAGTGACAAGGAGCTCAGAGTTCAGGGCTGGAAGGGTCTGGCCCAAGGATTCCCGGCTGGGCATGGGCAGTGGTGGGGCAGGGCAGGTGCATGCTGGGTTCCCCACAAGACCCATCCCTCACCTCCACTTGCCCCTCTCACAGGGCCATGGGGCTGCCGTGAAGTCCCTGCCCCTGCCGTGGCTTCTCTCACCTCCGAGAGGTGTTCCTCCTACTTGTCAGGCTCAGTGATTGATGGTTTAATTTCTTCTTATAAAGTAGGCTGAGCTGGCGCCGCTGCTCACTAGGCTAATCCTCCACTTGCGGCGCCGGCACCCCGGGTTCTAGTCCTGGTCGGGGCGCCGGTTCTGTCCTGGTTGCTCCTTTTCCAGTCCAGCTCTCTGCTGTGGCCCGGGAAGGCAGTGGAGGATGGCCCAAGTGTTTGGGCCCTGCACCCACATGGGAGACCAAGAGGAAGCACCTGGCTCCTGGCTTCAGATCGGTGCAGCACGCCGGCCGTTGCGACTGTTTGAGGGGTGAACCAACAGAAGGAAGACCTTTCTCTCTGTCTCTCTCTCTCTCTCACTATCTATCTCTGCCTGTCAAAAAAAAAGTAGGCTGAATTCAGCTTTCATTTATCTATTTGAAAGGCAGTGCAGTCCAGAGGGAGGGAGGAAAGGAAAGAGAGAGAAATAGATCGATCAATCAATCGATTGATGGATTCCCATTTGCAGATTCACTCCCCAAATGCCTGCAACAGCCAGGTCTGGACCAGGCGAAAGTCAGGAACAGGTCTCTCATGTGGGTAGCAGGGACCTGAGTACTTGGGGCACCTTCTGCTGCTTTCCCAGCCACACTAGCAGGGAGCTGGATCAGAAGGGGCTAGTGAACCCCAAGGAAGCGCTCTGGCTTGGATTGCCAGCCTCGCGAGCAGCAGCTCAGCCCCTGTGCCACAGCACCAGCCTAACCCTGATCGCTGTCAGGATTCTTCAGTGCAGGCAGCAGCACCCTGCACCCTCACTTCTGCAGTAAATCCTAGCCTGGCCCCACTGCCGTGGGACACGGGGGAACACACTTTCTGTCCCTGTCACTATTAGTACATTCTCAGTATCCGTCAAACACCTGCTGCTTGCCCTGGGCGGAGCAGTGAGCAAAGCAGACACGAGCCTGCGCCGCCGAGCTCCCGTTCTAGCAGGAAGACGGGTGGCGAGAATCAGTGAGCAAAGGTCAGGTGTGGCGGGTGCCAGGGAGGTGGCTGTGGGCACACGTGGCACGTTCAACTGGGCAGAGGCCCCAAGGAAAGGGCCTACACCAGTGGCGTGTGCGAGAACACATCCCTGGAGCCAGCTGACCCGCGTCCTGGACTAGCAGGGAGAGCCTTGGGCTGCAGCTGAGTGAAGCAGGGTGCTGTGGGTGAGATGGTCGCCCACTGGATGGGTCACCACGGGGCCTCAGAGGGCGTCTGCGGATTCAGCTGCTCCTGTGCCTCCCCTTCAGCGGCCGGAGAAGCAGGTTCTGGTGCCAGGTGTTGGGGAAAGGCGGCATAGGCTGTTGCAACCTTGTCGTGTGCAGGACAGCAAGGCAGAGAAGACACGGAGTAGCAGAGCCCGTTCCACACTGAGGCCTGGGGTGTGGAGGGACTCAGGGCTGCCTCCTGCAGGGCCCTCTGCAGGCCAGAGTGGGTTTTGTGGAAGGTCTCCCTGTACTCCTGGGCTCACCTAGCAGGGCAGCGATGGCCCCTGTCGCAGGGGCAGGCCATGTTGCCTCGTGACACTAGTAAGGCCGTGTGAGGCGTGGGAAGAGTTGACAAGCACAGGATGCTGGCCCTGGCCCTGGCCGTGGTCACCATGCCTTCACTGCCACTGCTGTTGCTCCCAAGTCTTCTCCTCCCTGCTGCTGTCAGGGGCTCCAGTCTGACCTCAGGCTGCTTGCCGTGGGGATGTTCCCCATGGTCCCCACTCGTGGGTTGAGGCGCCACTTGCTCCTCTGATGTGTAGGGGCACCAGGCAGTGAGGGCCAAGGACAGGGGACCTCACACAAAAGCAGCACGGGGCGGGGGCAGAGCCCAGCCTGTGCAGTACAGCACCCTGATCAGCTGAGCCTGTGGCTGTCTTGTGGCATCTGTGTGCCTGGCAGTGTGCCCCACCCTGTGTCCCCCGTCTGAGAGCAGCTGCCTCTGGGTCTCTCTGGACTATAACAGTTGGTTTTCCTGCAGCAGGCTGAGAAGTGTGAGGACAGCAAGTGCGTTGTGTTGGCCTCCATGTCCCCGTGCCCAGTGCAGGCCCGGCCAAGGTTTGATGACTGAGTGCATGGCCACTCCTTCCACTGCAGGTCCCCAGGGCGAGGGTCTTCTTGCTGCTATTGCAGAAAGAGCTCGCGGGAGCCCTTCCGTGCTGCTGGTGGTACGGCAGAGACAGGGCGTAAGACGTCGATGTGGGCGGTACAGAACAGGAGTCCCAGGGTCCTGCTTCGCCTGTGTAGTTGGAAGGAGAGTGTGGGCTGAGCAAACGGACGCTGTTGAGAACTGGGAGGGGGCCGGGTTGACGGCAGGGCTCGGGCTGAGGGCTGCGGGCTGTCATTTGGTGAACGCGGTGGATAT